GTCTGCTGCTGCTCAACACTACTTCTCACTCAGTGAAGCTCTTTTCAGATTCACATTACCTTTGAGGAAATATATTTTCAGATGCCAAGTAAACTACATCATAGCACACACGCGACTGCCCCCCCTCCCCCCTGCACTGAAATGGACAAGACAGAAGCGGAAGGTGGTTCTTAAGGAGACAGAGGCCGATTTCAAGGCATTTAGAAGAGGAAGTGATGAGAAGATAAGTTTATTTTCTATTTAAACATAAAAACAGCATTTTAATAACAACTAAAGGTGACATAGATACTTTATTATGGTATAGTATTTAAATATACAGTATGCCTGAGAAACACATAATATTGCGCCTTTAATTCATTCGTAAATAAAAAGTTTCTGTGCAGCTATATAATCATAAATCCCTCTATCAAACTAGAATGAAACCGGTCTGGAAGCTGGAGGGGGCGTGGTGTGAAGTGCCTCATTTGGGTTTAAAGAGACAGCCTCAAAACGAGTTTATCTGAGACACACCTCAGAAAAGGGACAGGGTTTATGGAGTTCCAATAAGGAGGAAATCAGACCAAAGCATTGCAGTTCCCCTTTATATAGACCATCTGAAAGATTTAAATGTGAAAAAGAAGGATTAAAAAGAGTCATTTGTCAACTTTAAAGCTTACTTTATTGCAACCTCATGTTGAAATTTGGGCAGCATCATTGATACCCTTCACACCAGAAATGTTCCAGTTTCCAGATGTTCTACATAATTAAGGTTGCTTCATGCAAGTTCCTCTGTTTGTTTATTACCATCATCCTCTGCTGCAGAGGGTGAATCTGATACAGATGAACTTCTCCACACAGTCATGTTTCACTTTCCCAACTTGTTCCAGAAGGCATCACGTGGAACCAACCATCTTATTCAGTCAATACAACCTCACTTTACAGTCAGTTGTCTTTACTCACTGCAGCCGTCATCCATGACTTGTTGACTGTCAACAAACTGTTTCAGTGGTTTAAAGCCCCCTGAAACACACACAGATATACAAACAGCCACCGTCTAACATTATTGATGGATCATTAACTTCTACTCCAAGGCTGTCTCCTCATTCTGCAGACTGTTTAAGCTGGTCATCTGCTGCCAGCGGCCTGATGATTTCTCCACTTCTACCAAAACTGTTGCCAAAACTGCAAGGAGAGAAGTTTCCAACAGAAGCAGAAACAAAAGAGCATACAAAAAAAAAAAAGACTATTTTAAAAGTTACCCCAAAAGGATTCTCATCAACTTTTGAGTTCTTTCCCAACCCCATCCAAGTTTCATTCAACTGACTTAAAATCTCAAGTGACAACTAAAATATGCATGTGAGGAAGGCAGGAAGCTGAGTGCCAAAGAAACTAACATTCTGACTTTAATTATGGGTTATGGAAGTTCAAGAAGCTGCTTTGTCCATTTATATTTATATCAACAGTGTCAGAGCTTCAGGCCCTCTAGTGACTGGATGGAGAACTTCTTTACTTTAATTAATTTTAAACTGAAAGATGAAGGAAATAAAGAGAAAAGAAAAACACAATCTAAAACTAAAGGAGTCTTTTTCATTTCCAAAACTCGTCTGTTGTCCAAGCCCTTACAATAAGTTAAGGTTGAGTCTTTTAACTCAGTAGAACTTCAGAGTTTTCTTTCATCTCTTCCACACAATGAGTTTTATAGAATATGACCGGCTGACTGATGACCTGCTTCCCTGAGGAACATGCTGAAATTGTCTGAAAGCTTCAATCTGATCATCTGGATTCAATCTGCTGCCTGCAGCTGCTCACTGTTCCAGTGTGTTTTTGTGTGACAACACAGTCAACCGTCTCCCCTGTGTTAGGCTGGAGTCAGACTCGTAGTTTGGGGGGTCTGTTTTGTGGTCTGAACTCATGATGTTTCCAGAGGTTTCAAGTTTTTAGTGGTTAGAGGACAGCCGGAGTGGCTTCACCACTCTATCTTGGACCGACATTGTGATGAAACCTATCCAGCTGGAAGGATTTCCAAAGCTAGTGAGAAACACAGAAACACAAAGCCTAAAGAAATGATTTAGGAGAAATAAACAATATGAAGAAAACAATTTATCCATTCAACAGTTTTAGCTTTGTTTTTAAACCTCTGTTGCTAAATCCAAAATTACTCCAACCTTCAAGTTCTCAGGTCAATAAAACCATTAGAAGACATCAGCTCCAAGCCAGCACTTCCTGACATGTATGAAAAACTGAAATGTTTGTAGAAGCCTTGGCCCATTAGTGGTTTCCTTTCCTTTTGCTCTGGTAATAGTCCTGAAAAAAAGAAAGAAAGAGAATGATAAAAATTTTCCATAGTGTCTTTGGAATCAACCTCTCTGGCTGTGTGTTTTACGAGAAAGGTCAATGTTTTTCACCCAACATTTGAAAAGCTGAAATACGAATTACTTGCATATGAGGGGGAACCAAGAGCAATTACAGTAGATGAGGACTGTGGTGGTGTGGGTCTCCAACATAAAAAGCTTGGCTGAGAAGAAATTATGTCAAAACTATGGAGACTAAACATGAATTTGTGGGTGTACTGTATTTGTGCAAGAGAATAAACAAAGGGTTTGAGAAAGAAAGAGAGGGAGAGACAAACTTTCCTGACTGATTTCTACAGTGAGTTACAAAATATTTATCTCTGCTGGTAATCTTTCATTATCAACCCCAGAAAACAATCTTATTTTGAAATGAACAGGAAGTGTAAGGTTAACACATCGTTGTTAATCAAACAGAAAAAGTAAGGTCCTCTGGATGGGTTCTTCTTTAGAGAAACGTTTCGTCTCTCCTCCAAGAGACTTCAGTCTGATGAGCTTCAGGTGAACTCAGCCTTATAAGCACTGCCTCCACCTGGACAAACAGGCTAGTCATATGCAAAAGAGGGCCATCGACTAACAATAGGCTTGATTAGCTCTATTTAGTCACATGCAAAAGAGGGCCATCGCCTAATAATAGGCTTGATTAGCTCTATTTAGTCACATGCAAAAGAGGGCTAATCAAGCCTATTGTTAAGCGATGGCCATCTTTTGCATTTGACTAACCTGTTTGTCCATGTGGAGGCAGTGCTTATAAGGCTGAGTTCACCTGAAACTCATCAGACTGAAGAAGTCTCTTGGACGAGAGATGAAATGTTTCACTAAAGAAGAACCCATCCAGAGGACCTACTTATTTTTTCTTTTTGTTTTTTTCTACCTGGAGATGCATCAGGACACATCGTTGTTAACTATGGAGTGGAAGTTAAAGTTGGCTCCAGAGTTGGTGGTAATCCTTCATACCTTTTCTTGTATTTCAGTCAGGACTTGGATAGAAACTTTCCATTGGCTCTGAGAAGACAATCATAAAGAGACTTAGGGTAAAATGCATCAAAAGGTGGTGACGCGAAGTTTGTGTTTTGATGGAGGAATTCATGCACCATTTTTCAGTTTTACGTACTTTTTAGAATTACGAAAACTCCCCCATTTAACCTCCTTATTCACATGTATTTATTTAGAAAACAATGTTAAAAAACAAATAAAAACATATTTAATGTAAAAACTGTAATGCAGAAAAATAAATTATTAAAGGGAATAAATACTTTTTCAACCCATGCTTGTTCATTTAGTAAGGTTCATCAGAATTTCCACCTCATTTGTTGAGAACAGGTGGTTTTTGTGTTTTGTTGTAGAATTTGGAGCATTCACTTCAGTGATCATGTTGTTTCAAATGTTTGGCTGATTATCTGTGAGCACTGAAGCGTGAATTAGTTCTGAACAACCATTATCTCTTTACTCCCTGTGCAGGACAACTAATTGCTCCATGAGGAATCCCAGGCCATGGTGCTCATAGGGCCCTGTCTCCTGATGCTGATCGTGCTGGTTGGAACTGGGGTAAAGCTCCAAGTCGGGGGTGACCATACAAAACCAGTTCGAGCACCACTGATCCCTCATCGCCCATTTGTTGTTGTCTGGAATGCACCTACAGAGTCATGTCGCCTACGATTCAAGGTGGACTTGGACCTCAGTATTTTTGACATTGTAGCGAATCTTAATGAGACGTTGAGTGGTCCAAACGTCACCATATTCTATCACAGCCATTTGGGATGCTACCCATACTACTCCAGTTCTGGGGTTCCCATCAATGGTGGCCTGCCGCAGAACCAGAGCATGTCCAAGCATCTGAGCAAAGCTCGGGCGGACATCGACAAGATGATTCCCCACAAAGACTTCCGAGGTCTAGGTGTAATTGACTGGGAGAACTGGAGGCCCCAGTGGGTTCGAAATTGGGGCTCCAAGGACATTTACCGCAAAAAATCCAAGGAACAGATCAAACAACTTCACCCAAACTGGCCAGAGAGCAAAGTGGAAAAGGAGGCGAAGGAAAGTTTTGAAAAGGCGGGCCAAGCTTTCATGAATCTGACTTTAGCCCTGGCTGAAGCCCGCAGGCCAAATGGGTTGTGGGGGTTTTACCTGTTCCCAGACTGCTACAACTATGGCTACAAACAACACCCACAGCGCTACACTGGGGAGTGTCCCAATGTGGAGCATGTCCGCAACGATCACTTGATGTGGCTCTGGAAGGAGAGCACAGCCCTTTACCCATCCATCTACCTGGACTATGAGCTGAAGTCTTCTCCAAACACTGTCAAGTTTGTCCACTATCGAGTCAAAGAAGCCACCAGGATTGCCTCCATAGCTCGGACAGACGTCACCTTACCTGTTTTTGTCTACTCCAGACCCTTCTATGCCTACACCTTTGTTGTGCTTTCAGAGGTAAATGTCTTTAGTTTGTCTCATCATTAGGAGTTCCTGCTGTTGCTATATTGTCTTCTTTTTATTTAAGAGTGACTTGGTTCACACCATTGGAGAAAGTGCTGCTCTGGGAGCTTCAGGAGTCGTCCTCTGGGGATCATCAGAGTACGCTCGATCACAGGTGACAGGCAAAGCGCCACAGCAACAGAAAGTTCAAATAGTTTCACAAACATGAAATAGGCTCATATCTTTCATGTGATGATCAATAATCTTAGTTTTTGGACAATTGCATGTCTCAGGTTGTTTGAGTGTTATAATGAAATCATCTTATGATGAGAAATGATGGGGTTACAAGAGTTTTGGTCAAACCATGTAAATGATGAGGTTATGATTGATTTATTAGCATTAGTATGTCCTGAGGATGACTTTCAGCTACTACCATACCAAGTTTTAGCGTAATAGTTGTAAAATTAGCTGTGGCATAACCATTTTGTGTAAGCTAAGTTCAGTTATCTGTGTCAGCCATTTTGAACGGGGTTACCTCAAACAAAAGAATCAGTTTACACATTCAATAATTATCTTTTGAGAGTTTCTGTTAAATCAGTGAAAACAGATTGCAGAGTTGACTGTCATGGTTACTGACAAGCTTTTAAATACAAATGATCATGATTAGTTAGTGCTCAGAATCTGTTGAGGTTCACTTAAACATCATATTTTAGCTTAATTTTTGTAAAACTGTGTGATTTTTGTCTTTTCTGAACATCGTTTTGCAGTGGTAGCCACACTGAACTGGATTCACCTAAAAAATGATAAATATACACCCAATGACGATGGCTTCAGACAAATGAACACAAGCACAGACTTTGGTAAAACCATTTTTCTCTCTGCCTGGTGCTAGATGGTAAACAGTCAAATTGGATGTTAGGTTTTTCTATGTTAAAAAATGTAAAGAAAGAAATAAAAAAACTATCCAGGATGGACAGACCCAACGACTCATTGTCCTTGTTCAGCCAAATATTGTACTTTTAATCTTAATCATTCAGTTAATTACGCAACAAGGATCTTAATAATTAATAAAATGTTTGTCTTTTAATTTATTTTGTCTAAAATAGATTTAGTATGTTGAGTCAAAAGTTGCAGGACACCATTTTATTTCAGGAAGAAAAGAAAAAATGACTTATGTGATTACCCCAGTATGTAGTGGAGGAGGGGGTCTATGTTGGGAAAAAACTTGCCTGTATATGGTGGCCATGTTCTGGACATAACCTAAAAATTAGGCCTCCTCACCCAATACTTTCTTTTAAATACAAAATACCAGTGCAGAATAAAACATTACATTTCCAAAGTCAAAGGAGATGGGAAGCAGCATGTGTTTACAGCTTGAAGAGCTCAGTCCTTGTTTTAAAACGTCACACAGTTTTGTGTCCCCTTGTTTCTGCAGAGGAACTGTCTGACTGTGAAGAACTACATTGATGGTCCTCTGGGGCACTACGTCATCAACGTCACCTCTGCAGCCAAGCTGTGCAGCAAAGCTCTTTGTAAGAAGAATGGCAGATGTGTCCGTAAGAGCCTGGATTCGGGTGTTTACCTGCACCTCAACCCTCGCTTTTTTAACATTCATCACAACCCAGCGTCCAGGAGCCAACGCTTCCACGTCAGGGGCCACCTCAACAACCACGATATCCTGGACATGAAGCACAAGTTCACCTGCCAGTGTTACCAGGGCTGGACCGGAGTTTACTGCGAGATCCCCCAGGTGTCGTCCCCTCCACCTTCATCCCCTCCTCTGCATCCCACCTCATCCCCTCACCCCTGGATGGACAGCCTGCTGACAGAAGTTCTGCGCCTCATTTCTCTTCATTTCTCATGTCTTTGCATCATCATGTTCTTGGGACTCTGTCTCATCATGAAGTGTCTGATCTTGTAGGCACCATTATAATTATTTTAGAGTCAGAAAATCCTTTGTTAGTTACCATTTCTCTAATGTTCTCCAGCTCAGTGGTCTTAGTAGAAAGCAGCAGCATTTTCATTAATTCTATTTGTAAGAGGCATAAATTTGAGAAGTGTTTATCAAGCAGAGATAATCCAGATTTCATGGGCTTTCTGTAAAGAAGACTTCACTCAATGAAAATCAAGAAGCAGCTTTAGAGTTTAGCCAGCTTTGTCTGGTCCACTCACTAGAAGTGCTTTTCAGCTGTATTAAATTTAAATCTGTTAATGTAGATCTAAGAAGTTTTAATATTGATGATTTATCACAGCTGTTCTGAGCCTATTAAAAATGATACACTAGTGATCCCAGTTTTTTTGTCTCATTTGCTCAGCAGGAATAGAAAATATTCACAAATGAAATAAAAAAAATATGCATACAAAAACATCAGCCGGCGAAGCACCCAATAAAATATTTACTTAAATAATTATTTAAAGGCAAAAGCATTCCCTGAAGACGTGAAGAAGGAAGAGGGCAGCACCAGCGAGGGGCGCTAAAGGCTGATTTATACTTTGTAACATTTGCCTGAATTTGTTCCTGTGTCGTAGTTTTGTGATGAAAATGAGACCATTTTGTTCTTGCACCGCTCCCAAGAACTAGATCTGTGCAAAAACTGCTGGCAGAACATTTTTTCCTGCAGGTGTGTGTGCGCCAAGTATTGTGAGATTGGTGAAAATGTTGAGGGTGTGTTTCTGCTGAATGACACTACTTCTATTATTTCAGCTGCTCAGCTGAGGAGCCGCTGGTCAATGCTGGAAGAATATACAGATGTTTACAGCTGTTTTGGCAAAACTTAAATATATTAAATAAATCTTGTAAAGAGAGTCCAAGAATACAGGAGGGAGGGGAAAGGCCCAGTGCTGGCTCTAGCCATTTTGGTGCCCTGAGCGAGTTGAAGCACCAACCCCGCCCCCAAACTATGTCCCGCCCACCCCAATTTGAACCCTAAAAAACAAGTTTGACTGTGTAAGGTACTATGGTAAACTTAGATTTATTTGCTTTAAACACAAACATACATCACACAACAAATTAAATGAATAAATAAAGTAAATATAATTAAATCAAATGACAAGGGTAAACAAAAGACGCTGTTCACAATTTGTGCAAAGATTCAGAAGGTCCTCTATTTTGGAAAATATAAGTCTGGTTTTACCTCATAAGGTCCTCTGCTGATAAACTCAGTCCTCACTGTGTCAGAATGGATGTCAGCGGGATCAACGGGCTGCTTTGATGTCAACCTGAGAGGCACTACTAGCCCCTCCCCCGTCAGAGTGTTGGAGCAGGACGAGTCAGTGCAACGTCAATCAAACGAGACGGGGGGAGCAATTGTTGCATGGGGGGGATGTTTTATGGGTAGAATAGTTTATTTTTCCTGTAACACTTCATTATGGTTTTTTAAGACAAAGCTAATTGAAAGGGGCATTGAGCAGAGTTACAACCAGGGATTACAATTACCTTTTTTCTTCTGCAGTTTGGCGCCCCCTCCAGCAGATGGCGCTCTAGGCGACCGCCTAGTTTGCCCATGCCAAGAGCCAGCTCTGGGAAAGGGATTAATCCGCTTGGAGCTTTAGTTTTAAACTGAAGAATCTCTCCAGATGGACAGTGAAACACCTTTAACTACAGAACAGAAGTCTAGTTGCTTTAATTTTGGACTTTTAGGACAGGTGCCGTCTCAGGTGACCTGCTCCTGGGATAAAGATAATTTCTTTGCAGTGCACACAGTCTCAAATTACATGTCTCTTTACAGCAGCAACAGACTGAACAGGTGTCAAATCACACAAACACTAGTGCTCTAGAATTATACAATCTAATTTGACAATGCCTAAAGATTATTTTGAGAAAATATTTTGCAATGTGGTCAAAACCCATTCAACGCAAACTAACAACTTGTTAGTTGAACCTCCTCTATCATTTTAAAAAAAACTGAAGAAAAAAATATGTTAAAGTCAGTAGCACCACTTAAAGACTGGAGATAATACGCTGTTTTAATCACAACTCTAAGTATAACCATCTTGTTTTGTTTAGTAATTATGACCTTTGGACGGCAGAAGATAAAAGCCAGAAAACTTTAAAAGTCATCAGACTCTCCACTGTGATTAAAAAAAGATGTGATTGCGTCCTCGCTCCCTCGGCAGACAGGACTCGGGCCGGGCTGAAGCTGACTCGGTTGAATTATTCTGACAGAGTAATTATGGGATTATGATGACTGACAGCTGGTCAAGTAAACAAACTCATCTGCATCTCACAGTCATTTCATTTCAGTATTTCTTTCTGCCTCATGTTCTGAACTCAACCCTCAAATATCAAAAGCAAAAATGATAGTAAGTGGTTACTGATAACCGCTTTTACAAACAGGTTTTAAAAAATAATTTATAATTTATTTCAGTTTTTTTTAATAATAACCACATGTGAAGAGTTGGTTATTTAAAACATATTTTTATTCACAAACATTTGAGGTTCATCTTTCGATAAGTCCTAAATCCACAGACACCAAACACGGTCATTTGGAAATCCTCAGACTTCAGTTAGCTGCAGCTAATAACCATAATTAGCTTTAGCTTGGTGTGGATGTTCAGTTTGTCTGTGGAAGAAGCTGACAGAGACTAAACAAGAGTTTTCTCCTCAACTCATTCTGACTTTTCATTCCAGAACAATGTTGTCCCACTACAGCTGTTTGCCTTCTGTGGTTTTAGGACCATTTGTTTTAGAACCTGGACAGTTTCTGATGGTGACTTTATTTACGATTACTTATTAAAACCTTACATTTCAGCCAAGTAGGCCTGTTCAGAATATGATAAAGCAGAAAAATCACCTTTAGTGAAGAAAACAGCATTAAGTTAAAGAATAAACTTTATTGTTCTATGAAGTTTATTGAACTTTAAAAAAATCGGTTTATTTTTAAATTAAAAGGCTGATGAAGCAGTAATTTTTCTACCAAAATGCATTTTGTAATTGAAATATGGCAATCTAGAGACAACATAGTATCTCAAAAACTAATGTTTTCACACAGACATTTTTAAATATTTCTTTAAACCCAGAGTTGTCTTTTGATTATTTATTTATTTATTTATTTATTTTTCTTATGTGGTTTTCTTTAATTAGCTGAAGTTTAATCATTTTGTTTCAGTCTTGCTGAGGAGGTAGTGTTAAATTACTTCTTACCAGATAACAAGTTTAGGAACCATTGCTCAACAGAAAAAATGACTCAAAATGAATAAATTTAACAGGAAAAACACCATCTGCACCTGATGTAAGTAAATTATTAGATTATTTATTTGTTGTAACAATGCGTAATAAATCTTATACTGTAGGAAAACCTGTTAATTGGCCTTTTAATTGCTGCCCCATTTGTAAGGAACATGCATTTGTGGGATGAGCAGTAGAGCTGAGTGTGAAAAATTAACCAAATACTATGCATTTTTTGGGAAGCTCACTTCACTGCCTGTCTCCGACATCTCCTGTTATATGGGACTTGGTCTTCATATTGGAGAAGGTAATAGGACTCCCGCTCCAAATAATGCTGAAACTTGGTTTTACAGAACAACTATAAGTTACTGAATTGCTTGGGTGCTAACCAGATTCGTCAAACGTAGCATGCCAAATCTTGAAACAGACACCTACTGACCACTACAACAGGTCCCATGTTCACAAGTGCTGCCAATCAGGCCATTTACTTATATACATGAAATTCACAAGAATCTATTATTTCAGGAGCTAATTTTACACATTTTCCCCCAGGAATTGTAAATTTAGGATTCAGTGCAGCAAAATAAGGAATTTTAAAAGGTAGAAGATAATATTACTCCTATTCTTTGTGTATCCCCTACAATTATCAATCTCTTAACCTTGTCTGCTATCAGTTTATTGTTTCTGTATAAAAATCACCAACACAAGTCTACTTGAATAATTAAAACTCAGTATAACTCAGTTTTTTTCTATTTCCCTTTTCCAAATAGTTTGTGACTATTCACTTTATTCTTTTAATATTTTGATGAAGAGGTGAAGGTTGAACACATCTTTGGAGGAGGTGGGGAATAGAAGGGTACTGGAGGTTTGGAGGGCTCAGTTTGGCTTGGAAGTAAGACATGATGTCAGAGGAAAATAGGTTGGGAACCACTGATTTAAGTAGTGATGATGAGGAGCATTATACTCAAGTTGGCACCAAATCTTGTACTTCAGAAAATAAGATTGAGTGTTCAAGTCTTTTTGTGGTTGACTTTTGAATGCAGCGGTGTCTAATCTTGTTCCATGAGGGACACTGTCCATGAGGGACACTGTCCATGAGGGACACTGTCCATGAGGGACACTTTCCTTGTATTTGTTTACCTGCTCCAACACAGCTGATTAAGTGACTAAACCAGGGATGCACCGATATAAAAATTTCAGCCGATATCGATAATTATATATATAGATATAGATATAATTATTGCTGTTGTGGCCAATAACCGATATTTACCAATATTACACAAACACACAAATTATATTACATATACGCACAAACAAACTTGGGTCATTTTTGAGACTGTAAATAAATGACCAGACTTCTGACGTGGCCCCCTATTTCAGTTATTCCTGGCTTCGCAGCATAAATATCACTATCATGATCAAACAGATGCTGCTCAACCAACCATCTCCCCTCCCAAAACAGAAACACAAAGTTAAAAGCAGGCAATTAATATCCAAAGTTAATATTGGCCCAGTTTTACATATCGGACTGATATCAATATTGTAAAAAATGACCAATATCGGCCGATACCGATATTAATATCGATATATCATGCATCCCTAGACTAAACTATCTCATCTGATTCCACAAAAGCTTGCTAGCCATAAATTAATTTGAATCAGATTTGATCCTTCATGATGCCATACGTTTCTTCTCACTGAAGTCTACACTCCGAAGAAAAAAAAATCTGCAGTCAGATATCTGCTCTTACTTTGGCCACAAATCTGTTATAGCACCACACTTTTCTGCAGACAGATTCCTCCATGCAAGACCTCTGCACTCACTCCATCCATGAATTTTGAGCTATTTGACTTTATAAATGTCTTCTTGTGGGCATAACGGTAAGCAGAGTACTTGATTTAAAATGCCACCATTGCTCTCTGAGTGCTTTTCAGCATAAACAAACACACCTACAAACTTCTGACCAATAACACAGTTATTCGATTCACACAATGGGCCTCATGCAAGAACATTTTCATATTCTTATCCTAAATTTCTCTTACTT